CTTCTTGATTATTCGATTGCACAGATTTTGATACTTGTTCTTCTTCTGTATTATCCCAATTTTCCACTATAAAAAATACAAAAAATTAAAATAAAAATACAAATTTTTATATACCTTGAAGTTCTTCATCGGATACTTCAGGTTTATCTTCTTCATCAACACCTTTTTGATAATAATCATCATTAAATAATTCCTTTGAATGTAAAAAAAACAATTTTTTTTTGTTTCTCTTTATAATAAAAAAAAAAAAATGATTTTTTAATGTATTACTTGCATTCGACGATCGTATTCTTTTGGATCAAAATCTGCATCAAGATCATCAATATTAACTGGTAAATTATCATCACCGGCAACATTTTTTAAACGTTTCATTTTATTAAAAATTTCTTTTTTTTTTAAATTTTTTAAACGTTTAATTTCTTCAAGTTTTTGTTTATGTTCAAATTCTTTTCGTTGTTTTTTTTCTATACGTTTTAATTTTCGTCGATCATCTTTACGACGAACACTATTATCAATTGTTCGTGGATATCGTTTTAACTAAAATAAATTATTTTTATTTTTAATCAAAAAAAAACAAAAAGAAGTTTTTATTTACAAATTCTGAATCTGGTTCTTGATAACGAAAATTAAATTTTCTTTCGAATTCTTCAGCTTTTTCAAATTCATCATCATCTTCATTTTGATTAATGATTTCATCATAGGATGGTATTCTAAACTAAAGAAAAATCAGTAAAATGTATGATATAAAAATATTTTCACTTGAAGAAAATTTCAGATAAATTTTTTAATAAAAAAATATAAATTGAAAGAAATTATTCTACCTTGTTTCATCATCATCATCATCATCAGCATGTTGTAAATGCATTTTATTTAGAATAAAATCACGTAAAAAACGATCACGTTCAGATAATGATGGATCATTCCAATAATCATGTAAATATTTCTGAACAAGAATCAAAAAATAATATAATTTATTTTTTTTAAATTAGAAATTATTACCAAATCTGATTTAATCGATGAATCTGATAATTCACTTTTTTGTCCTTTTAACCATTCAATATATTCTTCTTCTTCTTTAGCCTAAAATAAAAAATATAATTAAATAAAAGAATATAACACTTCAATTTAAATTTTCTACTTTTTCTGCTTCAGTTTTAACTTTTTTTGTAAGTAATATATCATCATCATTCGTTGTTGAAAGAACATTTTTAAGACTAAATTATAATAAATATATTCATTGGAAATGTAACAAAATTCGAGAATCATAGTAGGATAATAATAGTTGCTTCATATATGGACTCAATCAGTAAAAACGCTATATTATTTCAATGCAATTTTCTATCAGTAAAGGTTTTTCGAGTGAATTGTCAAAAAGTTCCTTTCGATCTTTCGACAGAACTGAAACGAAAATGTTTGTCTTAGTATTGATTCTAGGGATTTCAATGAGTCCCTTGAAATTGATTTCGAACTTTTCAGTTCGTTGATCGGTAGTGAAGTCGTACTCAGTCATGTTGCTAACGAATGATTTAACCTATATATCAAAGAAATCGTGTAGTAAACAGGATTTTCCTGATGGTAGGACTCGATCTTCTGATTTCAGCTTTACTTTGCTTACGTCATTAACTCAAAAATCTTATTTCATCCAACATTTTGTTTTCCTTTCGAATGAATTCAATAGACAATTCTATTGAATGCATTTCAAGTTGATTCGTAATTCTTATCTTTGGCATTACCCAACTGCGCAAAACGGAATAGTCTTATCTAAGAATTTTGCTTTCAAAATAGTTCTAACCTATTTTTAATTTCTTCTTGTTCTTCGATGATTGATTTTTTACCATTGATTCTAAAATATTAATTCATTATATATTTTTTTTTAAAACTTTCTTCATATACTGAATATGATTATCATGATGATCTTCATCTTTATTCATAGCTTCAGCAAAAGCATATTGAATTTCAGCATCTTTTAAATTCATTTTTTTTTCTTTTTTCTTTTTATTTATTTCATTATTATTATCATTAGATGTTGATGATAAATTAAAAAAACTTGTATTTGAATCATAAATTTTAGGATCACGTTTTTTAAGAATTGAATAACAACGAAGAAATTCTTTTTCTACATCATCTGTCCATTCCTAGAAAATATCAATAAAAATCAACTAACAAAAAAACAAAACAATCTTTTTGTTTTCTTATTAATACCTGAGCATTTTCATCTTCAGATTCTTCATCAGAATCATCTTCAATATCACTTCCATATCGTGCTATTACTAAAATAATAATAAAATTTGATCGTTTTTTTTCTCTTCTAAACAAGTTTTTTTTACATTTTTGTTTTTCTTCTTTTTCTCTCCATGTTTGATATTTATTTGCATATGTTTTATTGATTGTTAAAGTAATTGGTATATCATCATTATCTTCAAACATCTTTGAACAAAAAAGAAAATTAACAAGAAAAATAATTAATTAATATTCTATAATTGGTTCAAATTTTACCATGTTTGCCCTTCATATTCCTCTATGATAAATGACATTTCCTAGATATCACTGATTGAGAATAGTGATGGCGCCATATGCAAGGCTTGTAAGAAAATCCTTCAAGATAAAGACTCTTTTTCCATGGTAGTGAAGCCACGAAGCTTGAGCAGACTCACACATATTTTTCTCGTTCGATCCGATTGATAGATTTATGTATTACGTTCAAATTTTTTTATACAAATGTTGGCATTTGCATACCATCTTTGGTCGCAAAAAACCAGCACTTTCTCAGAAAAACAAGGTGCTTGAGAAAAAAATTGAGTTTTATATTATTAAATGTTGAGCTCTACATTGTCATTGATTTAAAATAGTGTTTCTTTTGTTTTAATTAAATTAGTTCAGTATTATTTTTCAGTGCAAGCTATTTGAGAGAAGTACAGAATTGTTATCTAAAACGCACCAGTTCCACACAATGTACAATGTGAGATTAGAAGTAAGAAACATAAACTGTCTTTCATCTAAGTGTCATAAAAATAAATTACACTCATCCTTCATATTCTTAACTTTTCGAAAGATATCTTATAAAGCGAAAAATCATTGAAATACGAAGGAGATATTTAAAAAGATTTCCTCATGAATATCCCTCGGAAAATTTCAAACAGTTTTTTTCTTACAGTGATTTCATAAGAAATTTCAGGGGTACTTAAATTCCTTCCTGACTGAAAATACTTATATTATGTCTATGAAAATTTTGATTGTGATCGGCTATCTATTAAATTTTTAGTTTTTTTGAACTTCTAAAACCCTATTTCAAAACAAATGCAAATGTGAGATGTCGCTAAAATCAATTTGTTAAATAAAGTTGATTAGAAGATTTTAATATCATAAATATTCTATATCAATAATAAATTTTAGTTCATGTTGATAGCAGCTTTTTAAAAAGGGAGTTTCATTCTAAGTGCATTAGTGGGTTTCTAAATCGACATTGATTTGATGAGTCAACTAATTGTACCAGCTGTGTTTTATTTTTTTCAATATTAGAAAATTGAAGATTTTATCAAATAATATCAATCGTATGAAGAATAATGATTAATATTTTTGTTTTATGATTGATTTTATTTTTAGATTATTCAAGAATATTTAATTGAAATATGACACAAGTTTGTCAATATAATAATGAAAGATTAGAAATTAAGATTGTTTTTTGTTTCAGGCTGAAGTTGATGATACATTAAAACGTATACACGAACATAAAGGTGTTCAAGGTTATTTAATTATAAATAATGATGGTAAGATAATGATTCAAGAAGAAAATAAAATTATTATATATTATTTCTTATTACTTATAATTAATATAAGTAGATTGAAAAATATATTATCATAAGAATTTCTATTATTAAATTCTATTGTAGAAATTTCGAAATTATATGAATAGAATAAAGTTTCAAACACTATTTATAAAATAAGATCATTATGATCACTATGTAATTCACAATACAGTATAATCTCTCTTAGATAGGCACCTACAGGACTTTTTCAAATCGCCTACTTGACGGAGGTGTGCCCGGATTAGAGAAGTTTTGACAAATATCAATCACAAACATGTTTTCCGCAAGTTGTGTCGTAAAGAATACCCATACAAATATATAAATTAAAATATTCACTGGATATGCCCCATATAAGAGAGATTCAACGATACAGTGCGGTCTAAAAATAGTGCTCAGAAGAAGGAGGTGCCCTTGTTATAGAGGCTCATTTCCAGCAAAAATCGATCAATCGTTCCGCCGAACGCCCACATAGAGGACTTATACTGTATTTATGAAGATAATGTTCATATGATGTATTAAGTTCTAAGAAATTTTTTGTCTTCTATGATTATAGTCGCTTTGTAATTATGTTGATCGTTTACATATAAGAAGTTTTCGTTTCTAAATATCTTTATAGTAAAAGAATTTATTATATTTCAAATTTTCTTTTTTTAAGATAATTAAAAAGTTATTCTCAAGGTTAAAGGAAATGTTTTTTTCATCTGTGAATATAAATGATTTATCGTGCAACTAATGTTCTCGTTTTTTTTTTTTGATTAATATACATCGTTTTCGATCGGATATATATATATATAATTATTCTTAATATAGGTATTCCGATTCGTTCAAGTCTTGATACATCATTAACTCAACAATATGCAGCATTAATAAAATCATTATCTGATAAAGGTCGTTCAACAATTCGTGAAATTGATCCAACAAATGAACTTCTCTTTTTTCGTATACGTACTAAAAAATATGAAATATTAGTTGCACCTGGTTTGTAGTAAAATAAAACTAATCATTTCATATTATATATATATATATATATTGTGTTCTAGATAAAGAATATACAATGATCGTTTTACAAGCAACAGATGTTTCATAAACTATCTTTCTTTTATGTCTATCTAATATCATTCTTTCTATACAAAAAAATAAAAAATAAAATAAATGCACATTTTTTTTTCTTCTTAACTTATTTTAGATAATGAAATGTCATTTGTAATTAAACAACCATTATATAATCGATTTTCACTTGATCGACAATATCCAATGTCATCATCATTATATCATGGTCCACCTTCCTTTAACTATCGACCTATAGTATCTACATTAAAAGATTTTACACATGAGTCACCGATTATCGAGCAAAAATTTTACATAACTTATAGTAAACTACCACCACATCCAGTAATCAAACAGTGACATTAATACTTATATGCATTGATTTTTTTCTTTTCATATATACCGGTTTAAATAATAAAAAATTTATTTTAAAATTTAATTATAATAAATATGGTCCTATTTTGTATCGATGTAAGAGTTATATTTTTCTTTATATGATTGTCTAAGAGAAAAAGTATACAATCGATGAAAAAAAAAATATGTATAGTAATCATTCAACCGTGTATTGAATAATCATCTTTATTGACAACTAGGAGAAACTATATATCATTTGTTTAGCCTTATTTTAGTAAAAACAATACATCAAACGCAAAAAAAACCTTCTAATTATGGCGACAACTGTGCAATCGAATCCTACGAAGTATGAAATAATATTTGTTTTTATCGGACAGCCGTTATGATTTCAAATAGACTAAGCAATAAGTTTTATATCAAATGAAAGCTGTTGGAAAACAAAATTTATTAGTAATAAACAATCAAGAAAACGAAAATATTTCGTATTTTGAAACTAATAGAATTCTATAGAAATTAACCAATATAACGTACTATAAATGATTCTTAAGATAGAAAGAAAAGAAAATTCATTTTAAAAACATAGAAAGAGCATTGTTCTGTTGTTTGTTCCTCCGAATAGACAATTAATTAGAGAAATTTTTGATTTTATTAGAAACTTGTAGAACATAAAAGATTAAGCAATTTGTACAACAATATAAAAAATTATTTGCAGATCAATGTGTTTTCCTCAATAAAAAAAGAATTTGTTTCTCCATCGATTCGATTAAGTTTGATTAATGTTTTACAATTCATTTTCCACTTGCAAAATAACTTGTTGTTGAAATTCATTATTTAACTAAATCCTGAACGAGACTAATGGTGAATTTTTCTTTGAAAGTTGACTTAATTCTTTACTCTGGTACAAAATATCATAATACTTTTGATCAAAATGGTAACTTTTTCTCACAATTCTTCATATTTCAATGCCTATAACTCTATCAAATTAAATGACATGAATCTAAAAGCATTTTCATAGTTCTAGTTTGATATGAGAAATCGATTGATACTATAAAAAAGTATTTTTTTTTTTAGTTTTGACGACATAATCGACTTTGTCTATGAGCACGTGTAGCTTTTCATAATGAATGTATACAAAATAGAAAGAAAAGTCATTAGTAATAAATCATTAATGGTCTTACCTGTACGACGATTTACAATTGTCTATCGCTTTTAAGTCAAACATTAATCCTCTACTCTACAATATGTAACTACTTGATATCGTCTTTCTCGACGTTATTTCTCTTCAATTATTCTTTGTTTTGTGTCATTGAAGTCAATGTCCGATGTATCTTTTTCTATTGTCTTTCTTTAAATAAACACTTTGTTCGCATTATTCTTTCTAAGAGGTCTATGTTGCTTTCAAAAAATAGCAAAAAAACCCCTGAAAATCACCACTCAATCTCTGGATTAAAATCCAATATAATTCTGTCAGTAATGTATAGACACTACTATATATGCAAGTAAAACCTTGAATGTTATTTACCTTCAGAATACATCTATTCTTTTTGTAAGAGTAAATGTCAAGTATAATCAATGCAGTGCATTTGATATATAAGAATAAAAGTAAAAATTACTTATGAGAAAACAAGATTTAAAAGAAAATCGACACCGAGATGGATCCGAACAGAGTAAGCCTCGAAATTCACTTGATCTCAATGCGATAGAATATATTGAAATAATACATGAAGATGAAAATCAAAAAACAAATGATGTCAGAATTCAAATACGATTATTATCTTGAAGAAATATTAACAATTAATATTTCGAATGTTTTGACAAACCTAGAAACTAATACTAAATTATTTTTGAAATTCTTCTATATTCGTATTCATTTCAACTTTGTAAAGTAAAGAATATCAACAGTCATCATAATAATTATAGATTGTATGCATTAAATAATGAAAAACTAAATCTAATTTTCTATCACATTTATTACCGGTTTTTGAAAACGGTGCGCTCGGGGAGATTGCTTATAACTTTTTAAGGAAAGGGGACAGAGACCTGCGATTTTCGCCGTTGGAAAGAGGAGATCAAGGCACATTGAACCGTATAGTACATATTTTTCTGACATGGTTTGTCAAGGTTTTATGTCAATTATCTAAAAAGAACTATGCCTTAACAAGTTCAAAAAAATTTTTTTTTTCAACAAAAATTTTGAAAAAAGTGATTTATTTTCGCAAAATTGTTGGAAAATTAGGTAGGGACTACCAGTAAAATGGATATAACTTCTGAACTGTAAAATATACAGACCTGGGGTTGGTCTAGAATTGTAGATCTAGATCCGAGCTATTAACCTCACTATTTGCAAATCAAAATCGGATATACGCTCAGGGAATAGCAATCTCGTCAAGCTTGCATTGGAGGGTTTACCTTGGTAAACCTTATTTGAAGGTCTGGTTATTTCATAGTAATACGTGCCCTGCCATGCTTTATCGAACAATGAAAACCACAGGTCCTTATCACATTTCCTTGAAAAGTTATAAGCAATCTCTGCGAGCGCATCGTTTTCAAAAACCGGTAATAGTTCGAATCTGATCACAAGCATAATTTTTTTTCAAGTCTATAATCAGTCATACATGGAAATTTCGAGAATATACTGATAAATCCTATTTTCGACAAGCTTTCATTTGATATAAAATTTATTGTTTATACTCTATGTGAAATCATAGCAATATCTCAGTAGAGAAAGCTTATTTCTCACCTAATACATCTCTGAAATTTGTTGATAATCGAACAAATGTTAATGAAAGTTTATACTATATTCTTAGTGCTCAAGAAAGTCAACAACAAGCAGTAACATCAATGCGTGGTCAAGGTGTACGTAGTGTACATTTACATCGTTCAAAACATGATGAAGGTTTTGGTTATTCTTTACAATACAGTAGAAATTATTTTCTTGTTTCTCACATTGGACATGATAGTCCAGCTGCTAATAGTGGTCTTTGTTTAAATGATGTTATAATTGCAGTAAATCAACAATCAACAGAAGATATGTCTTATGATACTTTGACTAAATTAGTTGATAAAGATAATGATGTTGAATTTCTTGTTCAACCTCTTGAAGAATATCTACGTTTCCAATATGGACCAAAACAAGATGAAAAATCGACATCAACATTATCAACAGATGATAATGGCAAAAAACGATTTAAAGCAAGTGTTATTAAAGTTTTGAGAAAATTAAAACAACATTGAATCAAAAATATTTTTGGAAAAACAAAATTAACAAATAAACTACATGGAATATTTATTTTTATGAAAATGTTTTTTTTTTTTTTTTTATTATGATGAAAATCTAATATAAATGTTTGACTAATTATATTTTTGCATATGAATACGATTTCATAAGTAATATATATATTGGTTCATCATTTAGAAAAAAAGTAAATCAAAAAAATAATTCTTTTGATTTCTTATCAAAACACGATGAAATATGAAGAATATTGTATCGAAATTTTTGTATACGGCTGCATTAAATATATCTTCCGACTTAACATATGTTAGACAATGTTAGTCATGATCATAGTCACTGGGATGACTACAAAAAAAAAAGTTGTTTCAAGGAAAGCTAAAGATGATATTTAAACCTTTTAAATGTTATTTTATATTAAGAAAGTTATAAATAAATGCATTCTTTGTGCTATCAAATTTATGAGTAGCATTAACTACTGAGATTTCAGTAAACTATTGAGTTTTTAATATATCTATTTTCTAGAAATCCAAGGTTCCTGAAACACTCATATCTACAAAATTTTGATTTGAAACATTGCGCGTATAGAAAACTCGACTAGGCCAGTTTTCATAAAAAAATTCAGATGTTTTGAATCAAATCTCTAGACTATATATGAGACTTTCAAAACATATCACCTTTTCCATGAATAATGTGTAAAATATGCACTTTTTGAAAGCTTCATATCTTGAATAGACCTTTTTCAAAACGTCTAAGTTTTATAATGGAAGCTAGTCTAATTAAATTCTGTATATACTCGAAGTTTCAAGTCATAATTCAAAAATACGAGTCTTTCGAAAACTTAAAGCGTCTTGGCATTAAAAATTCTGTATCATAATCAACTGTCAATAGGAACCCAAATCCTTTTAAAACTTTTAATAGAACAACATATAGGATCTATAGGCAAATAACCAATAAAATCAGCAGTATCGGAGAAGATTTCTTCGTGAGTACTCCTCACAAACGTTTGACACTTGTTGATATCAATGGTTTCACAAGACGTCTAAAGATAATTCATACTCCTTCCTCATAAAAAAATCTAGGGACTGTTGGTATTTGAAAACTTTAAGTTTCGATGTTGAACAGACTGAGATGAACTTTTTTACCAAGTTTAAGATGAAACCCTTTCCTCGGTCATTCTCTATTGGATGGATTATCAGTGCTTCTTTGTCAAATTTTTTGCCATATGCACTTCTAAAAACTATCGAGAGCTATCTTTAGAACTTATGCAAACGTGAGATGTCACAAAAATCAACTACTGAAATATAGTTAATGAGAAGTATTTAATATCATAAATAATCTATATCAATGATGAATTTCATATAATGTTAGTTGTAGCTTTATAAAATGAGTTTCATCTTAAATATATTCATATATGTAATCAGTGGTGCATATGTCATCATAGGTCATCAGCTGCTATTTATGTTTTCGTCATCGATCGAAAATATTATCAAACATATGTAGAATAATGATGATGTTTTTCAAAAGACTGATTTAAATTTGATACGAAAGAAAAATTTAATATTTTTTCGGTGATAGCTTTTTTTAGAGAATTTTATTAATAATATCGTCAAAATTTTTCAATGTATAGTTAAACAATAAAATTATAATGTTATTACTTTTTTCTAGGTCGAAGTTGATGATAGATTAAAATGTATATAAAAAACATAAAGATGTTCAAGATTATTTAATTATCAAAAAATGATCATAAGATTATAATTCAAGAAGAAAAAGAAGATTAGTATGAATAAATCGAAAAACATATTATCGAAAGAATTCATATGGCAAAAAATATCGATTTCTCGAAAATTGTATAAATACAGTAAAATTTCAAAAACTATCTCTAATGTGGAATTATTACGAATACTATGCAATTCCAATATGTATGAAGGTAAAGTTCATATTTTTATGAAGTTCCAACTATATTTTTGTTCGGTGCTTATACTTGATTTGTAATCATGTTTCTCGTTTATATTAAAGGAGCTCTCTTTCTCAAGTATCTTGAGAATAGTTTGTTACAACATTAATCAAATCTTTATCTGATAAAGATTGTTCAACAATTCGTGAGATTGATCCAATAAATGAACGTGTTTTTTTTTTCGTATGCATACTAAAAAACATGAAATATTAGTTGCACTTGGTTTGTAGAAAAACAAAACTAATCGTTTCATATTATATACACATATATTTGTTTTTTTTTTTGCTAGATAAAGAATATGCAATGATCATTTTACAAGCAACAGATGTTGCATAAATACTGTCTTTTTTCTTTTATGTCTATCATAATTGTACATTTTTTATTTCTTAACTTATTTCAAATGATGAAATGAAATTTGTAATTAAACAACCTTTATACAAGGGACGCTGAAACAGTTCTGGGACTGATTTTATTTAAAAACAATAAGAAGCACTGCTATATTTGTGTTATTATCGATGCGTAATTTATACAGTCTTCTATCTATAGACATGATAAACTCTGTTAAATTGAAAATATAGAAATACATTTTACTTCACTTTTTACACACTGAAAAAAAAATTGAAAAGTTAGTTATCGTCCAATATTTATGAGCATATAGGTAACAGTTTACAGTGACAATGTTCTATATCACATACTATGATATTTCAATGGATTCGTCGTTTTAAAGACGAATAACTAACTATCAGTGATAGTTTTAAATATGATCGATATCTTGTTAATAATATATTAGAGAATATGGTATTTCTATAAACTGATTTTAGTCATATATATAATTAATCATGTAAGATACTATGTATTGTACATTTGAAATGTGAACAGTGTCTGCTATTAACCCAGCTGCGATTTGAATTTTTCCGATTATCAGGCTTCCATAAATTTAAATAATTATATTATTCATAAGTCGATCATCATAAACTATCACTATATGTTCATAAATATTAAATGAATGATGACCTACTAAAAATAAGAAATTTCATCATTGAATGATACTTAAAATTTTGTGATTTTTCTGTCAATGTATAAAGAATGGTCTAATATGTATATTTCTATATTTTCATATATATATGTTTGATTCAATGGAGCTTCCAATGTGTATAGATAGAAGACTGTATGAATTATACATAAACAATAATACAAATACAACTGTACTTCTTATTTTTATAATCGATTTTTACTTGATCGATAATATCCAATGTCTTCATCATCATATCATAGTGATCCTTCCTTTAACTATCGACCTATAGTGTTTATATCAAGAGGTGTTACACATGAATCACCTATTGTCAAGCAAAAATTCTACATAACTTATAGTAAACTATCACATTTAGTAATCGATCGATGACAATGAAACCAGTACGCATTGATTTTTTTTTCGTATATACGGGTTCAAATAATAGAAATTATATAAAAACCTAGTTATGATAATTATTGTTGTACTTTATACTAACATAATAGCTGCATTGTTGTTAATATATGATACTTCATGACAAAAGTGCACGATCGAAAGAAAAAAAAAAAGAAAATAATATGAATAGTGACCATTCAACCGTGTAATTAATAATAATTTTTACTTATGACAAAAAGAAGCAATTTGCTGTTTATTTGCTCTTATTTTAACAAAAACAATACACTAAACGTGAAAAGTACCTTCTCATTATGGCGACAACTGTGCAATCAAATCCTAGAAAGTATGAAATAATATGTTTTTTTTTACTGGAGTGCCGCTATAATTTCAAATAGACTAAGCAATAAGTTTCATATCAAATGAAAGCTGTTGAAAAACAAAATTTATTAGTAGTAAACAATCATGAAAACGAAAATCTTTCATATGTTAAACTCTTGAAACTAATAGAATTCTGTAGATAGTAGCCAATATAATATACTATAAATGATTCTTAAGATAGAATAAAAAGGAATTTTACTATAAATACACAGAAAGAGCATTATTCTAGTGAATACTTCTTTTTTTTCCGTTTCTCACAGTCGTTCATATTTCATGCTTATAACTCTATCAAATCGAATCATAGAAATCTAAAAGCATTTTCATAAATAACAAAACGTTGTCACAATTGGAATGCAATTATTATCTTTAAAAAAAATACTAATCATTGATATTTCAAATGTTTTGTCAAATCTAGAAACTAATACTAAATTATTTTTGAAATTCTTCTATATTCATATTCATTTCGACTTTGTAAAGTAAAGAATATCAACAGTCATCATAATAATTATAGATTGTATGCATCAAATAATGAAAAACTAAATCTAATTTTCTATCACATTTAGTTCGAATCTGATCACAAGCATAATTTTTTTCAAGTCTATAATCTGTCATACATGGAAATTTCGAAAATGTAGTGATAAATCCTGTTTCGACAAGGTTTCATTTGATATAAAATTTATTGTTTATACTCTATGTGAAATCATAGCAATATCTCAGGAGAGAAAGCTTATTTCTCACCTAATACATCTCTGAAATTTGTTGATAATCGAATAAATGTTAATGAAAGTTTATACTATATTCTTAGTGCTCAAGGAAGTCAACAACAAGCAGTAACATCAATACGTCGTGAAGGTATAGGTATTGTACATTTACATCGTTCAGAAAATTATGAAGGTTTTGGTTTTCATTTACAATATAATAAAAGTTATTTTCTTGTTCGAAAAATTGAAGATGATAGTCCAGCTGCTGATGGTGGTCTCTATGTAGATGATATTATACTTTCAATAAATCAACAATCAACAGAAAACATGCCTTACGGTACATTTGCTAAATTAGTTGATGAAAGTTCACGTCTTGATTTGATTGTTCAATCTCGGGAAGAATATTTATATTCGATGATACATCGACCAAAAGAGAACAGACAATCGATACCAACAATTCCAATTCCAATTCCAATAAGTAATAAAAAAATCAAAAAGAAACGTCGAATATCTCTTTCGAAGATACTGAAAAAAATAACAAATCGTTGAATTATAAAGATTTATTTATCTTTTCTTTTTTGTTGCTTGTATATATCTGATGTGAAATATTTTGAACAAAATTAATAAATAAACTATATAGAATATTTATTTTTATGAAAGTTTTTTTTTTCGTATCATAGTGAAAATCTAATACGAATGTTTGAGTAATTATATTCTTGCATACGAGTACAATCTCATAAGTAACATATATACATATTGATGCATTAGTTAGAATAAAAGTAAATGAAAAAACAATTATTTGGTTTATTAGCAAAGCTCGATGAAATACAAAGAATATTATATTGAAAATTCTGTATACGACTGCATTAAATATATCTTCCGTCTTTAGATATGTTAGACAATGCTAGTCATGATCATAGTCACTGGGATGACTAAAAAAAAGTTGTTTCAAGGAAAACTAAAGATAATAGTTAAACATTTTATGGTTGAAAGCGAATTACTTTATAGATCAAATCAATCAGAAGATTATCTAAGAGAGATGACTCACAAACATGCTTGTCGCCGATTAAATAAATTAGAAAAAGGATTATTGAAGACTTTATTTTTGAAATAAGAGATTCTGTAGTAGTCTTTTCTAGATCAAGATCGGAACCACTGGAAAAATAGTTACCGAGGAATCTATTCTTTGTCCTACCAGGTTTAACTAAGCTATCGAGTTTTTAATATATCTATTTTCTAGAGATATCAGGTTTTTTGGAACACTCTTATTTTTGAACTTTGATCTGAAGTTTCGTATGCAAAAAGAATTCAATTAGACTACCTTTTATTATAAAACTATAAAGTTTTGAACAAGTTCTCTTCAACACACGAAGCTTTCAAAAAAATATTTATTGTATACATTATTCATGGAAAAGGCTCTCTATCATGAAAGTCTCATATTTCATAGAGACTTGATTGAAAACTTCTGAATTTTTTATGGAAATTAGTTTAGTTGAGTTCTCTTTACGTAAAATGTTTCACATCAACATTTCAAAAATACGAGTTTTTCATAAACCTGAAGCATCTAGACATTAAAAATTCGATACTTTAGTCAACAGGAACCCAAATTCTTTTAAAACTTTTAATAGAACAACATATAAGATCTATAGACAAACAACCAACAAAATCAGCAGTATCGGAGAAGATTCCTTCGTGAGCACTCCTCACAAACGTTTGACACTTGTTGATATCAATGGTTTCACAAGACGACTAAAGATGATTCATACTCCTTCCTCATAAAAAATCTAGGAGCTGTTGGTACTTGAAAACTTTAGATTTCGATGTTGAAGGGACTGAGATGAACTTTTTTACCAAGTTTAAGATGAAACTCTTTCCTTGGTCATTCTCTTTTTGGATGGATTATCAGTGCTTCTTTGTCAAATTTTTCGTCATATGCACTTCTAAAAACTATTGAGAGCTATATTTAGAACTTATGCAAACGTGAGATGTCACAAAAATCAACTACTGAAATATAGTTAATGAGAAATATTTAATATCATAAATAATCTATATCAATGATGAATTTCATATAATGTTAATTGTAGCTTTATAAAATGAGTTTCATCTTAAATATATTCATATATATAATCAGTGGTGTATATGTCATCATGGACCATCAGCTGCTATTTATGTTTTCGTCATCAATCGAAAATATTATCAATCATATGTAGAATAATGATGATGTTTTTCAAAAAACTGATTTAAATTTGATACGAAAGAAAAATTTAATATTTTTTCGGTGATAGCTTTTTTTTTCGAGAATTTTATTAATAATATCGTCAAAATTTTTCAATGTATAGTTAAACAATAAAATTATAATGTTATTACTTTTTTCTAGATTGAAGTTGATGATAGATTAAAATGTATATAAAAAATATAAAGATGTTCAAGGTTATTTAATTATTAAAAAATGATCATAAGATAATAATTCAAGAAGAAAAAGAATATTAGTATGAATAAATTGAAAAATATATTATCGAAAGAATTCATATTGCAAAAAGTATCGATTTCTCGAAATTGTATAAATACAGTAAAATTTCAAAAACTCTCTCTAATGTGAAATTATTACGAATACTATGCAATTCTAATATGTATGAAGATAAAGTTCATACGATTGATTGAATTCCAATAATCGTCTTTGTTTGGTAGTTATATTCAATTTGTAATCATAC